GCTCCAGAGCGGACACGCCACTCTAACAGCTGCACCCTGCAGCGTGCAGCACACCCTTCACTAGCACCATTGCACGCAAAATCGATCCCAGGGCCATTGAGACCCATATACTCCATGCATGATATAGATAGCATTAATTAGCAACATTCTGATGTTTTTGGGATTTTGGGACTAAGTATAGGTACATAAAGGGCCGCGAACCATACCCCCGAACCATACCCCGAACCATACCCCGAATCATACCCACGAATCATACCCCCTAGTCAAACTTCCCGGGCCGCACTCCTCATTTTGAGACATACTCATATATATATATCTTGTGGAAATGGCACCCCGAATACAAATCAAAGCACTGTGCAGATCCCTGTAGGCGCTCTCCGACCAGCAGCGAATGCTCAACAGCCGTGCAAAGAAGAAAAAACACCAGACTCTGAACTTCCAGGCGGGAAGATAATGGGAATATACTGGGAAGATATTAATTTTAATGGGAGTATGAAAAACCATTTAACTATAATTGATGGGAATCAATATATATATATATATATATACATCTAATGGCTATACAGTTGGAATCTAATGGGAATATTACTGTAATGGGAATGTGATTTTTCAAACCACATATGATAGATGGGAATCTAATGAGAGTATTAATCAGAAAAAAAATATGATAAATGGTAATATCATGGGAATCTAATAGGAATCTCATGAGAATCTTGTTAAATATGGTGACAGGTTTGTTCACCTTTTTTGGGATGAGTTCACCACAAGAGGCAGCTCATCATGGACAGATTTCATGGGATGAATTCGGGTTTCGCAGATTTTCCCTACCAATCCTCTGGGGAATGGATCCACTGGACATGGATCAAATTGACATCGGGCTTCTCATGGGTTGCAGTGACAGCCAGATCCCATGGTTTGTTTACCCTACGCGGTTTGTAATCAACATGGTGCTGACATGGCTCTTTTCCAGATTTTGGAATGCCAACTTCTAAGCTCAACAGCAGCAAAATCAGGAACGTGGCAATGCCCAACTACTGAAGAATACCCTGAGAGCCTGCAAATCCTTGAGCGAGATCTGAGCCAAGGATGCGCGTTTGCGCGCCTTCCCTATTGGGATTCCCATAGGAAAACTGGCAAGTTTGCCTCAAGCCATCAGCCAAAGAACAGCTTTTGGCATGTTTCTGAAATTCATCGGAGACGACGTGACGTCGCAGCCCTTGCGTCGTAAATGTGGTCTTGGTATGGCTTTGTTATGGCTTGTGCAACAGGTTTTCCGATTGTTATATCATCTCCCTAGGCCGCTGGCCGCATTTAGTAAGAACGGATCAGATGAGTTTGGCCAGCCATCTTTTCGACGTTGCCGGAATCCTGGCGAATTCTCAGTGACTTTTTCATGCCCATGATTTTTAGCACTGTCTAAAACAAGCCTACTAGTGGAAAGATTGGAGATACGAGCTTGATGCCACCACTAAGGATATCGGATGTCATTTCTTCCAACTGGAAGGGTTCCTGGACAAATCAGCATGGGCCATTGCTCGGAGCCATTTTGCTCCGCAAATCACCACATGAGAGCCGCAAGTTTAGCTGTGCTCAAACTGGAACTGTGTTTGTTCAAGGCCAGGACAAGCTTGCAGGAGGCTCAGGATTTCTGGAAGATTATAACATCCCTTTGATCCGTCCTTCGATGTCAGGCAGCAAAGAGCAGCATGAGCCGCCACTCACCTGTCCAACATTTGACGATAACTACGTGGCACCGTTGCATTTACACGATCTGAAGCCATGCTTGTGCCAGCGTTGGCTTTGGCACATCCCAAGGATGTCACTTGGCTGGCATGATAATTACAGTAATATGATGACTGCATGGTGTTGTTTAATTTTTAGGTTGTCCCACTGGCCGGAGTATCCTGGGTATTCAAATCAGATCAAACAGATCACACCTTGACTTCATACGTTTCTTGATCCCTTTCCTACCTATTGGATAATCATCAAGATTATGCTTTTGATGGAGATTTCCGGTTGATGGACTATGATACTAGTACTCCCCAATGAATAGACAGGGTAGGTTCATACACCTTATAAACCTTTGAGCCCTGCGCAGTTCACAATGCCTAGGTCACAAATGCTTTGCGCCGGCAATGCATTGGACACCAAAGCTACACTTGGTGCCTTGCAATTCCGACACAAAGTGCTTCAGTTGGGCGTCGCTTCCAAGTTAAATAAGCACTACACATCCAGATTGATGATTTCACTTATTTTCCAGGATAGCAGGATGGTTCTAGCTTCCAGTCAGCTTAAGCTGGAAGGATCTATGATGAATGACGTAACGGCACATTAATGGTTTCTATTTGTGTGTCTATCTATCAATCCATCCATGGATCCATCGATGGATCCATCACACCAAGTATCTATCCATCTATCCATCTATTATCTATCCATCTATTCATCTATCCATCGATCCATCTATCCATCTATCCATGAACAAACAATCCATCGATCCATGATCCATCAATCCATCTATCCATAGATCGATCTATCCATAGATCCATCTATCGATCAATCCATCTATCATCTACCCATCTATCTATCCATCTATTTACCTATCTGTCTAATCTGATCTGATCTGATTTAATCCAATCTAATCTAATCTATTTTGATTTAATCTAGTCTGATCAAATTCAATCCAATCTAATCTATCTATCCAATCCTTGTGGAAATATGTTTATGGTGGTGCATCCAAAGTAGGTATAGGCTACAAGTTTGATCGAAACTTGGCAATAGGAGTGTGTCGGTTTATTGGCATGGTGTTTCAATTGTGTGAACGCAACATGTTATGGGTAGGAAAGTTGTTTGAGTTACTAGTCCCCGAATTCATGTCGCTTTTCAATAACAAGGCACAAACCTTGACAAGCAATGTCATCATCAGACTTGATTTGGAGTGTATAGCGTACTATGACAACATTGAATATAGTTGGAATATATTTGGAATATGTTGGAATAAACCAGCTGAAAGCCGGCAAAGTTTGACACTGGCAGGCTAGCTTCGTCGCCATTCAGACTTGGTAGACGACCTTCGGAGCAGAATCGCAGCTCGATCATTACAGTGTAGCTGCTGGACAGTGATTTGCTGCCCCTTGTGGTGAAAGTAGTGCCATTTCTGGCTCTTTTACTTTTAAAACAAGCTAAGTTAATTCTATCTTTGGCATGCTTAATTTGAATTCTGTTCGCATGATTGCCTTGCCGCATTTCACTGTCAAAACATTTCATATTTGCAAAACACCAGAAACCACAGAAGTGCTGTGCAGAAAACTTAACCTTGGAGCTCATTGATGTATATTACGTAGGTCAGCCCATTTCAGCCTGCTTGCAGCCTCGAGGCAATTCCAGATATATTGTCATATGATGTAATATTATGTTAATGTTTTTCAATATCCTCAAGCATAGACCAAGGGATGAGTGTTTTAGTAAAATCGCGGACATATTTCGACTTCCTGCTGTGCTGGAAAGGCGACCCAAGGCGCTTATGGCTGGCAATTTGCTTGGCACCAGGCAGGGACGTTGCTCTCCCCTTGACATCCAGAGGACCATTCAAGTTGCCAGATAGGAGGTGAGTATTCCTGAATGGATGCCGGATGGATAGAATATGAAGCTCCAGCTCTAGAAGGTTTGAGTTGAACATGTGCTGAAAACACACGCTTTGTGTGTTTGTATTCTGTAGTTTGCCTCCTACGAGCTGGAAATACTGCAGGTTTATAGAACATATGGAACACCCTTAACTTGAAGACATTTGATAATATACTATAACAATCCATAATATACCGTCTATAATCATCTATATGCATCTACATCAATCTATATCCATCTACATCCATCGTTGGCTCTGAAGATCATGCACTGTGCCTCCCAGAGGCCTGCGGCGTTCCAATGGACAGTGCAGGTCAGCGCTTCTTCGGCATGCAGGTACCGGAGATCCATGTTGGACGATTATTGATGTGCCCTGCTCCAATACTTATGATAGGAGTCTGAGCATCGGTGGTCGAGGAGCCATACCTCATCCATTTTTGACGCCAGAGTGTGGAAATGTCGCTGATCTCACTGATTTTTACCCCTATCAGCCCTGAAGTTCACAACTATGTGCTTTGCATTGTTTGTTGTTTTGGTTTTACTGTTTTTCTATCTTAATGATTCATCATATTCATGATTCATTGACTGGAAACCCATTGGGTAGTTTCTCTAACATGCCGTGTTTGTTCCAAAGCACAAAGCGGCAGGCTACTCTGCTGGAGAGGCAGTGGCACAGTGGAAACAGTTGCATTACTTTGCGAATGAATTTAATTAATTGTAGTACTGTAAGTCATCATTTGTTGTATCATTCTATGATATTCTATGCCTATAGATTATAACTTGGAAATGCTTGGAATTATTGATCAAGCTATATATATATATATCAGGATGAACTGGGGATGGGTCAAAACTAATTATTACATATTATTACCATATTACATATTATTACCATATTAAATATTATATATTACCATATTAAATATTATATATTACCATATTATTACCATATTATTACCATATTATTACCATATTATTATCATATTATTACCATATGATTGCCATATTTGGGGGCTTTATTCACATCCATTAACCAGCTATGACCATCAGGGCACCATTGGGGTACCTATCCGGAAACTGCCCGGCAGAACCCCTTTGTCGCCAGGTCTACGAGGTTCCGCCGTTGACGGAAGACGAGGCACTTGTGGTTGGCGCCTGAGGGACCGCTACTCAGCTACTCCCTGCCATTGCAGAGATAGTAAGCTCCAAAAAGATAACATATGTTTAGTAAAGTTTAGTACTTTAAGGTATAGATTTCTGAATAAAACATTGTGTTTCGACGGCTTTTGCTGGTTTTTGTTGGAGGTAGGTTAGTACATGTTAGTACTATAGACTATATACAATGTATACATGACTCGACCACGGCCCCGAGGTCTGGCTGCATGGTGTTGGTGACACCGGGAAAGGTCCAAATCTGAGAAGTGGACTCGTAGTTACTATACTTCACTATATTGCTAACCATACAAAATTAATACCGCGGCAATACAATACAATACTATCCTACATTCAACAATACAATACAAGATGATATACATGTGCGCTGCACATGTCTGTGTGTATGATCCTGCGTTGGAATCAAGAGACTTTCCTTTGAAGTGCAGCAGTGAATAAGCACGTCGTTACCAGGCTGGTCAAACAGCGCTCCGGCACTACAGCAGATGGGCGTCTCAGAAGTTGAAGTGGTTGTTTGTGTTTTTCTTTCGGTTGGAGGGGAACCTGGTGGTCATCCAGTTTTGAATGGGTCCGCATTGTCAGACAAGCTTCAAAATCACCGAACGTGTGCCATTAGTAACATTAGTCCAATTTCAACCCACACACCAATTACCAAGTGATTTTCATTTTAGTGGACTGGGTCGTTGCACAATCAAGAGCTGGTTGAACAGATTGACCCGGATCATGTACAGGAAATCTATGGAAATCTGCTATGGGGGATGCAACATCCGTACACACGTAGGGGAGTGCTTTGGACTTTGAAATAGAAGGGAGTCATTCAATGCAGATTGGGCAAGATGGGGAAGATAGAAGACATGGAAGCCTATATTAAAGTATGCGCTCTGACCTCGCTCTTTCAACTTCGAAATTGGGATAATTTCGGTAATTTGCCCCAACTTGTATAGTATGTTCATGTATATATTTTCAACAACACATATCAACTTAAATGGTTGTTTGATGATTCAGGGGCTTACTTCCTACCTTTCTTCTAATAGGGGACTATGAAAATCCATGGAATCCATGAACTGTACATGAAAATCGAGCGCCAAATTGTTCAACCGAGGCCTTCCAATGCTTCATTTCCTCTTCCCCACCGCTCCTTTGAGAGGCGTCATGTTCTGCATGTCTTTAGCGTCCTAACAGGGACGTTACTGGATGTGTATGATAGCTGCATCCAATATTCATCCATATTTGCTTACTTATAAATTAAATGTATATATATATATATCTATAACTATTATTATCTTAAGTTATACATAGACATATCTACATATTTTTGGAGTCATGAAACCAGCAGCAGAGGCACTTTTGCGAGGTACACTCGCTACTAGTAGCATGTTGATTCCAGGCTCAAGCAGTCTTATGGCCATTATATACTAGACTTGACATTTCCATTTTGTCCACCCTTAAATCCTGATGATCCTATGATACTGTGTCCCATGTGCATTTTGCTGGAAGACTGAACTTATCTATTTTTGGGTCGTTTGCAGGTGGGTAATGCGTCATCCAGGGTTGCCACCAGCAGATCAATTTGCCTGTCTCCCGTTCAAACCTCATGAGTAAGACTAAAAAACCTCGCGCGAGAAAGGCTTGGTTTTGCAAGTCAACTTCTGGACTTCTCGTCGTGGTGCAGGTGTTGGCAGCAAAGGCCTCAAACCATCATGGTGCGGAGCTGACTGATCTGGTTGATCTGCCTGGCAGTGTCTTTTTGCACGCCTTCTGCCAAGCATTTCACGATGAAAAACATGCGGCAGGTATGATGTTCCCACCTTGGATCCGGACCAGATTGCCAGGTCTGGCATACCGTGATGAAAGTGGGGGGCCAGTTAGATTTAGTATAGAGTTGCTGATTGAAACATAGTGAAGCATCATTTGCATCCAGAGTGATGCATATAAAGCTTCAGTGAGCAAACCTTGCACCCTCCTCTCTTGGCCAGTTGATGTTTGGCAGTGTACTGCAGTTGGATGTCAGCAAAGCAGATCGGTACCATAGACCCTCTGCAGCAGTCAGTGATCAACAAACAGAAAGGCAAAGTTTGTATTACGCAGCATTGCAGCACCTTCCTTTCCAGAAGGCCTGTCAGCATGGTTGCAAGCAACATTTGCTTTCAGGAGTCAAGAGGATGCAGAAACGCCATTCTTCCGCACTTTAAAAAAATATAAAAAAATTAAAACATCCCCGTAATGTCAAATACCCCTTAAAAACCCTGGTATGGTATTGGATCTATTCATTTTTGGGCCCCTTGCTGGAGGTATTTGATATCAGGGGAGGGAAAAAAATCCGATTGACGGCAGGCAACCCACTCCTGAGGGGCTCGTGGATGGCGTGGACTATGCTGCTTGGGCCAAATCATCAAAGAATCAGAGCATACATGGCTTTGCGGCTTCTAATATTTCTTATTTTCCAATTTTTTTCGAGGAACTTTGTTTATTCCCCTGTTTTTGGGGATTTTAACAAAACCATTGACCATCATTGACCTAAAAAACAATCTTTTGAGGGCTGAAACACACTGAAACCAGAAACCAGCTCAGGTCCTTGGACTCATAGAGCCATATGTGCCCTGCCCTGGTTGAACTCATGTTTGATGATGCTTGTGGGTTTTGTGTCTATTCAAACAAGTTTAATGATAATAATATGTGGTAATTAATATAATATAATGTAATATATACTATGATATAGTCACTTCATGTCAGGCAGACACTTTGAATGTTTGCGTTGCTCTGTTGGAAAGTGCCTCTCGTTGCTGGCTCAATTGACGGTCAATATTGAAAGCCATCGATAACGATCATGACAGCAACATAGAGCTTGGAGAATGCTCAATGCTCAGGAGGAAACTTGTGCCTGCATTTTCGCTCACTTTGTATCTTATGGCTATTTTAGTGAAGTTCTGCAAGATTCTGCAACCTTGAAACGGAACTTGAACAAGCGGGGAAGCACCATTCCATGATATTGGCATATTACTGTAGACATCTGTAGACTGTTACACCTTCTCAAGGCAAGTTGCGGCAAGTGCAGTTGCTCTAATCAATCCAACAGACTGTTATGCCCAACCGTGATGGTGCCACTTTGTCCAAACATGATGATGGGCTTGTGCTCCTGGCTTGTGTTGATGTTGAAGCATGCCTGCGCTTGATACAGTAGCTCACCATGGCTAGCTGATTTCCTGATATTTCCTGACTATTCTTGGGCTTGCTGTTCATCAATTCGTCCTTGGTTGCTCAAGGTATATACTACTGTATAGCTCAATGTTGATTCTATGGCAGTCTTCAGATGAGTTGTGAACACATTATCCTTCATATCCATTCATATCCTAAGTCCACGTGCTGCCACAACAAGTAGGCTCCAGACATGTACCTCCATTCACTGCGTTGATTCACGGAATTCGACAATGGTTGGGGACGATGGACAAAAACAACTACATTCGACACCCCATTGTTTGATGGTTGGAAGACGTTAGAAGATGTTAGAAGCCCATGAATGGATCTTGGTTGGTCAAACCATTTATCCCATTTTGGAACGACCCCCTTTCTGAGTCAGGACCAAAGGCACAGCCAACCTAGCTGGGCCAAGGACCTTCTACGACAGGCCGATCAGCCAACTTCTTGCGATGTTTACCTTGGAGGAAACTACCACCGATATGGAAATTCATGGCTTTCTCTAGAAAAACGATCTAGAAATCGAGGATTCTTCAAGTCTATGTTCATCTACAGTAGAGTATCTGCAACAAATAGATGCACATAGATGCAAATGGGTGTGTTTTTTTAACATGGGGTATATACATGTAATATACCCCAAATTGGATTTTCAAGAGTGACAATGATGATCAACCATCAATCTGAGGGGTGAGATACTTGCAGGCAAATCCAAATACATGAATATAGATTAAAATACATTGAATAATTGATACGCCGTCTGTCACAACTGGTTGCTTCGCTGCCAGAATGTTAACTCTTATGGCGCCTGAGCAGCTCTAGAAGACACCTCAACATGTTTACTAGGGTATGTGTCACAACGGGCCCCATGTAAGCAGTTGCGTAACGTTGCGTAAGGATTTTGCGGAAAACATACAGATTTGCTGCGCACAAGGCAGAAACACAGATGTGCGTAAGGGGCGCTTGAGGTCTGGCCCAAGCAAATTCAGCAACATAGGTCTTTGCTACTCTTATTTACAGGAGCTTAATCAATAATCAACTGGAACAGTCTCATTGTTTCCTTTCAACTGCAGTTGACATGCTTCGTCACTGCTTGCAAGCACATCCAGACATGTATTGTGCTCCAAGCATCGCTTTGTGCTGGAAGTGCTCCATGTGTGGTTGCAGCTAGAATGTTCAAATGGTAATTGTCGTTGCCAAAGATACTATGCTACTCTGTGCTAGTAGCCTTCAGTCAGCAATGTTTCTTTGCGAATCGCTGCAAAAACCTGCTAATTATTGACACATTTGGCGCGATCGAAAGCCGAGGCCGCCAAAGATGACGAGGAGCTGCATTCGATCGCACCCATGATGCCATCATGGTAGATGATCCCAAGTGTCTACCCTCTGGTAATTTAACATAGCTATTGAACATGGCCATTTATAGTGAGTTTTCTCATTAAAAATGGTGATTTTCCATAGTTATGTTAAATTACCAGAGGGTATAGTCTTTTTCAGGGGCGAAAGTCAACGAGTTCTGCTGTTTCAACCTGCTCAGGACGCAGAAGATGTTGGAGCCGAGAGGCCTGGATTTTAAGTCTTGACCTATCTTGACCTGTAGGTCTTGGGAAGATATCTGCAATTCGATGACGTGAATTGTTCCGTCCCTAGAATTTGTTTCGATATCTTCAGGCCTACAAATCATCACCACCCCAAAAAAGAACAAGAATCAGTTAAATCATCGGTTAAAAACATATTAAATCATATTAAACACATGAACATACCACATATATCCACATATCAGAAGGGTGTTTTTGAGGATATTCTCCAGGGACCCGCCATTCTGATATGGGTCCCCAACAGTTGGACCATGTTGAGGCTCCACACCTTCTCTGTGCGCTCCAAAGCAGATGTCCTACACCTGGTGCATGGAGGTGCCGGGAATTTACTGAATTTTACTGAATCTACCATAGTTTATTCATAGTTTATACCATAGTTTATGAATCTACTATGAAGAAACTATGGTAGATATCATGGAATATGATTTTAGGATATTTTAATATATTTTAGGACTGACGGACTAGATCTCTAGTCTTTGAGATCTCTAGTTTTGGGGTAAGAAGATCTTCAGACTGGACGTGACTTCACTATGACTTCACTATTTGTTCTCTCTTTACAAATCTTTGACAACTGTTCCCAAGGACTTGCAGTTTACAAATCAGATTGTTATTTGGAGGATTTGTTCATTGCTGCAGTACATTGCGCATGAAGTTTTAGCTCTCTCAAGTCATTCGAAACAACATCGCCAATAGTTGCTGATATTCAGTCATACTCAAGCTGATATTAAGACTCAAGCCACACACAAAATGCAGTATGAAACAAGGATCGCATCGGAGACACTCTGAAAGTGAATCTGGAATCAGCCAATGCTTCAGGTGATGGCTGCGGTCTTCTCGTTGATGATGCCCTCTGTTTGTACTTTGACTGAACTATTTGGAGTGGGAGTTGCACAGTCACAGAGCCACAAGTCTGGGGTCACTTATGGTATTCTTTTTGAACGAGTACTGCTAACTATAGGCGCAAGAGATTCTGATATATTCTGAGAGCGTTCATGGCAGATTTTCCTGCTGTTGTGGTGGTATCACAAGAAGTTTTGGGAGAAATTCTCCTGTATCTCCGCCCGCCACAAGACATTCCATGTATCTGCGCGGTTGTGGCTCCTGGCCTCCTGACAATGCAAAATGCGTCTAGACGCTTGCGAGCCAAGGTTACTTGTACATTACATCATGTTCGCAAGGAATGGTACTGTGGACATGGCATAGTCGCTATTGTCTCAGGACAGGGGATCATCTTAAAAGTGGAACGATAAAGAGAAGATGCGCATGGCCGCTATATGGCCTCACTTGCCCATGGGTTGAGGTCATACGCTGGAGCCGCAGAGGATATCAAACAGCTGATCAGTGACTTGAATGCATCGAAAACTCGACCAGGGGGTCTGAAAATTATGGGGAAACCCCTGGAATTTGATGGTTCAAATTTATCATCCTCTTTCACAGATAGCACATTAAGATAGACAATCGTGCAGAATCGTGCATAATTATATAATGTCCAGATCTGAAGCTGTTACAAAGTTGTATACATGGAAGAGGCAAAATTACCGATACCCTTTGCGATACCTCAGCGATTTCCATTTCTTCAAAAAGAAACCCTAAACAAATACACCCCTTTCATCCCCTTTCCTTCCGTCCCTCATCCGTTCCTCTTCCTTTTCTCTTCCGGAATGAGAGACACTGCGTCCTTCTTCCTTTTTCATTCCTTTTTCTTCCCTCTTTCTTTCCTTTTTCATTCCTCTTTCTTTTCCTTGTTCTTTCCTCTTTTCTCCTCGTTCTTTCCTTCTTCTTTCCTCTTTCTTTCCTCGCTTTCCTTTTCCTCTCACTTTCCTCTCTTCTCGTTCCTTTGCCTCTCCTCTTGCTTTCCTCTTATTTTCCTCTTATGACTATGTTCCTTTTCCATCCTTTTCCTTTCCTCTTCCTGTCCTCCCTCTTCTTTTCCGTACGCAGATTTGTTCCTCTACGAGTATCTTTGTAAGTACTCGTACTAAACCATGCCTAGCGAATCCTAGCGATAGCAACCCCCAACAAAAAGAGACAATAACCTGTTTTGGAGCTTGGCGAAGACAATGATTTTCGACAACGGCTCACATCACATTTCTTTGATTTTGAATGCCTTCGTTCAGATCATAGCACTTTTTTTTGCACTTGTGGCTTCATAGTCCCTGCCAGGTTCCAAGGCTGTGCGCAGTGTCTGGGGCCTCACTGAATAATCTTAGCGGATCCCGGTCCAACCAGGGAATTGTGCCATAATGATTTTCATTGATTTCATTGATTTCATATGGAGCCAAAAAATGAACCACTGGGTAATCAACCAGTATATTTCCGTTGATCATTTTTGGATTCCCTGCTGGGAATATCTGGCCATGAGGATTTCTAACAGGGCTAACAGGGCTAATTCTGGCCGGGGGTTGACCCTTGCTGGTGAGTCTTCAATGGCGCTTCATCTAAAAGTGTAGCTGAGTTGCAGAACTATTGCTATCCTGCTATTGCAAAATATTGCAAATAATTAAATTACTGTACTATAGTACTTTTCGGCACATGCCATGTTTAGGAAGTATTTACAAAACATGTGAATGTTCACCGTAGAAAAAGGAAGAATCCACGAAAGTCCAAAGTCTGGAAGTCGAATCTGTCAAGATCATGACAACAATGTCCTCGACATATTGGGGGATGGGTCAAAGCCTGGTATTCTGATGTGAAAAGCAGGTTCCGAACCAGGGTTTGGACTTCTGTGGTTTGTGGAATGATGCTGCTATAAATCAATCATAATTAAACATAATTAAACTATATATCATAACATATATCACTAAATTAGACTTGTTCTATCCTTTTCTTTCTGACAGTTTCTATAGATCTGGGAGCGCCCTTGTTTGTTCCCTAGGTCCGTCCGCAGCGTGAAGAAAAGCTTCGGCGCCGCAAATCGGCAGAGGTGCCACAGGAAACCACGGTGGGTTAAAAACCAAGGGTTCCCTGCAAATTTTCAGTCAATTCATCGACATCGACGTGGGAAGACTGAATGCATCTGAGATCACAACGTATCACAACTTGGGGCCTTGGGGCAGTTGTTTTTTCAGACTTCGAATTACCATCTGGTTATTTAACATAGCCATGGAAAAAATCACCATTTTTAAGTTCGGTAAACCATCTATTTCTATGGGTCATCATTTTCCATGGCGAACTGTTAGTCATAACCAGATGGTCGATTTATAAAGTCCATCGGTCACCAGATGTCACCAGTTTTGAAGGTGTTTCTCACCAAGGTGCAGCCAACTGAAGACACGCAGCTGGGATGCTCGGATTACTCGGATTCGCCCATGATCTTTCCAGTTGCAGCGACTTCCACGACGTTTGCATCATGTGATTTACCCATGGGATTCCATGGGCATGGAATATATGTATATATATATATATATTATATATATATTATATATTATATATATATATATTTATATATATTATATATATATGGAATGTCAACAGTTTCTTAAAGAGTTTTCACATTTGTTTTCACATGTTTTCACTCTGGACAGGTACCCTATGGGCGAGGTCCTGTTCTCTCGCTTTGAGCCAGACGTTTGCCTCCGAGACGCCGGATGTGTTCGTTAAAGGGGCCTTGTTGCAGCACTTTTTAAAATTCAGGAGATACTTTGACCATCCATTAAGGTGGAGGCCTTGAAAATTGACGAGGACATCCGTCAGGCCATTGGTGGCAACGGCTTGAAGCACCATGGATTTCTTGACCACCAGTCACTATAATCAATAATTAAATATAATTAATATATAATTAATCACTAATCAACATTACACATTAATCATTAACGCTCATTAACTTTATTAGACTATATTGGTTCGGGTATAATGGTATATAATGGTATATAATGGTATATAATGGTATATAATGGTATATAATGGTATATAATGGTATATAATGGTATATAATGGTATATAATGGTATATAATGGTATATAATGGTATATAATGGTATATAATGGTATATAATGGTATTATATATAATTATAATCTTCTAATAATTATAGATAGTACTATAATCATTAATCACCATGCGCCCGAACTGCGAGGCATTTCATGCAACTGCGCGACCAGCTCAAGGAGAAGTGGAAGTGAGGTCGCCCGCCGCGGACTTGCAGCTGATCTCTAAGGAAATACAGCAACGGAAGTTGGTGTGAATAGCCAAGTATGGATAATTAATATACAATTTATTATATATATATATTATATATATTATAATTATAGTATATAAGTCTAATGTAATCAAATGATATCCCTGGCTCCCGCGATATGGGATGACATGTTCGGGGCTATGCGGCCATGCAGCATGAGGTTCATTGCTGGCACAGAAACCAACTGTTGAATTTGCGCAGGTTACCTGCAGCCATGGAGGAAGCACCAGAACAGAAAGCTCCGAAGCGGCAGCAGAAAGTGCGCAAGGCAAGACGTGGGCAGCTGTCGGCTGTCGCAATATGTCGCAATCTTTCATGGATTGATTAGGTTGATGATGGTTTCATTGTGCGATTAAAGATGTGTGATTGATGTGTGTGTGTATGTGCGAACTGCATGTTGCTTGGTCATGATGATTGTCACTGCACTGCAAAACAAAAGTTCCAAGTGCTTCTGTGCCTCAAGCCACTGTTAAGTCATGTTAAGTCATTCAAACCGTTGCTTTTGCCATTTCGCTCAAGCTGCAGGGATAGTTTGCAACAGTTTAGCCAGACAACATCAGACAACCATCTGAGCATGTTGTCCACAATGCGATGCCTTCCCCGTAGGCCTTGGAGCCATGGGACGCGTAGTGTGTCCATGGTGGCTCGGCACTTTGCAAAGCGCAAGTCGCTGTATCCCTTCATGGCCAAAGCTGCCACCGTCTTTGATTTCGGCCTCTCTGCAGCTGAAGAAGAGCGAGCTGCTGAGCTACACACGACCTGTCGGGTATACGATGGGTTGATGGAGTGCTCATGGTATCCAGGGCTTGTTGAAAACCTGTTGGCGGGTGGTCCACAGGTTGGTGGTAGTCTTTCTCTTGGCAACGCTGGTTTGGAGCGATTCCTGGGTGAAAAGGAACACATGGAAACGGAACCAGCGAAGTGGTGGACTTATGAAACACTCGTGCGAGACCTTGCATATGTGCGTGCAGCGTGTCATGAAAGTGCTGGCTGGCAAGGTCCGTTTCTGCACCTCAGCTGCAGAACTGGAGGCCGCCTACTCGGCTGGTGCCGTGGCTTTGACTGCTGACGTACAGAATTCCAATTTCATCGGTCCCGACTTCGACCGTTTGGAGACGGCGTACTGGTTGGGATTGCGACGAGTTCAAGTCACGTACAATGATGCGAATGCCGCTGGCCATGGCTGCATGGAAGACTTCGATGGCGGCCTGACAAAGTGGGGCCAAAGGTTAGTAGGTGCCATGAACGATCTGGGGATGATTGTTGATACTGGGCATTGCAAGCCACAAACGGTCATCGATGCCGCCAAAGCCTCCAGGAAACCCATGACCTGTTCGCATGCTGGTTTGTCATCCATTTGTCCGGCAAATCCCCGCACACAGACAGATGAAGCCATCAAAGCTGTGGCGAAAACAGGTGGTGTCTTCGGGTTGGTAGCCGCCCCTTCGGCTGTGAACAATACCGATTGGTGCACAGTGGCTGATTTAGTAAACAACATCGATGCCGCAGTGAAGGTCGTGGGTGAAGACCATGTGGGTTTCGGCTCGGATTTTGTCATGTCAGCTTCACTGGAAGAGATTCTAAGAGCTCCAGAGTGGAGTGCAGATAGGGCTGCAGCGGTCAACACCAGTGGTGCAGTGTGGCCCTTCTCTGATGGCCACTCGGGCTTTGAGAACAATGGCGGCTACCGAAATTTGACCAGGGGTTTGGTGGCCAAGGGCTACTCGGATGAAACCATTCGGAAGATCATGGGCGGCAACTTCCTACGCGTTTTCAAAGAGGTCGTCGGCTGATGACGGGGGCTCTAAGTTCTACCAGTGGAACCAAGAACCTATGAAATCGTAGGGTCTGAGAGAAAACCCGGGGTTTTGCATCAAAACCCGGGGTTTTGAAAAGCCATGTGTTTCATCATGTTTGAATTTCCATGATCTGTCATGATCTTTCCCGTTTTGTGATCATTCTGTTTGAAATCCTGTCTGAATGTTTGAAAATCTTTGAGAAATTCAAAATCATGCCATATGATGCGTTGCACCCTGGCCAAATGCTCCACACTTTTTCTTCATCCTCGTAAATATCCCTATACGAGTAGACACATGTTTTGGCGCCATACTCACTACAATCCAACGACAGTCCGTTCCAGTCCAACAAGGCTGCGAATTTGAACCACCGTCAAACTTACAGAAAACATGGTGCCTGGAGATGATTTATTAATTTTCCGCGGTACGCCATGTAAATTTGAAGGCTGTATCCATTTTTCCCATCTAATTTTCGATGCCGGTTTGGCATCTTCTCGCAAAACAGCAATCGGACCTAAAAATCCGCTACTGTTGGCCTTCAGCCCGGGGCCCAAAAAACCCATATTTTTTCTACGGGTTTGTACGGGTTAATTACGGGTTTTGTACGGGTTAAATACGGGTTTTTAAAACCCGGGGTTTTTAGGAAAATCAAAAAATACGGGTTTTGTACGGGTTAAATACGGGATAAGTACGGGAAAATACGGGTTTTTCATGGTTTTTCCAAAAAACCCTTAATTTTCAGCCAAAATCTTGAAAATCACAAAAAAACATCATATAGTCCGGAAAAAAAAAACAAAAACCACCTGTTTGTTCGTAATTGGATTCATTTTCCAGGTCCAGATTTTGGCTGATTTTTTTTCATGTTTGGAATCATCCATGAATTAAAAAGCCGAATTCAAATTTCTTCTGACCCAAACCAATGAAAATTGTTGTATTTATAAGTTTTCACCATCCGTTGGGCTCAGGCATCCAGGTTCTTAGGAATCAGCGGCTTCCAATGTGCAGGCTCGCTAGGTCATAAGCAAAGTGAAAGTATAAAATATAAAATCAGGAATTTACATAGTACATCCTTGATCGTGGATGCTCCTGTTGGCGACCTGAAGCAAGGCAGGCTGTCCAAGGAAGGGTTTGGCTAAGTATGATTATATTGATATATTTAGAAACATGATCAGTTTCCCCAAAAAGCCCTTTAGTATACATATATATACAAAACCCGGGGTTTTTGGAAGAAAACCCAAATTTTTATGAAATTTGGGAAAAACCCGGGGATTCGATGAAAAACCTACAAAATGTTAGGTTTCAGGCTCGCTAGGTATATATGATATGGGTTTGTCTCAAGATGCGGGATACCCCGAAACTATCCGGAACTGCCACCTCTGGCCACGGAAAACTCATACAAAAGTAGAATATAGTAGAATAATCGTTGATAGTTCAATGCATAATTGAACTATATCAACTAGTTTTGGGGCAACGTATGTCCAGACAAACCTGTAATTACTTACAATATCGTTTCTTCATATTCATATTATGTCATGTACAGGCCTTAGGCAAGAGTGGCAACAGCCCACACATGAAACGGAGCCGACAGAGCCGACATGGAGAAGCAATATGATTCAAAAGAGACGACAGAAGGTTTGCAATTTTTATGCGCACATCATGCCCAGAATGCAAGTGTACATGCAAGTGTAATCAAGTGGATATGGTAAAACTAACCGAACGAAAAGACCAATGATGTCCACAAGCCCAGCATGACATTTGTGCAGCGCAGGTGCAGAACGTCCATATGACTGGCTGATGCTGCGTCACTTTGAAAATGAGTCACGCTCAGCTGCGTTCCTGGATAGACTTGTCTACTATACAATCATGTTGAATCATGTTGAATCATGTTGTCAGGGAATGATTCGCAGAGGTTCTAATTTGGCCTGTTCTTCAACTTTCAAAACGCGTAGATTTTGCAATTCTCGTGCTCAAATCTTCTCAGAACAGTAAACTGTGATGAAAACTGTGATGAACTGAGTGCCCTTCTTAAACGCTCATAGCATCACCAGGTACGTCGCGGCATCCCACCCAGTCGCATTTTTCTGGTTGGATACTCCCAAGGCCACGGCTTGTGAAGGGTTGGGAAGCATCCATTTATCAATTGTAAAACCAGGAAGTGAGCGCCGAAGCCTGTATGTAATTATATATTAAAATATAATAAGATATATTAAATATATAATTATAATTAGAATATATTATCATAATGTACAGTCGAATCTTCATTAATCTTCAAACTGCTCTTTTTCAGAGCAGAAGATCCCACAATGATGGAAACTTGGCCCAAAAGCCTGGTATCTCAACATGTTTTGTTCTCGAAATTGACGAAGTCCCAATGGTCCCAATTGACTGTGTCAAATGAGCTTAGCAGATGCAGATGTAAAGTAGTGCATACTGATCATCTTGTTGTAGAAACATGGTCCCCCCAGGGGCCCCAGCTGTTCAAACATGTTCAAACCAACTGGGACTGGCTGGCTGTTCTGGAAGTTCATATTGAAGGTATTGAGCAGTCCCGAAATACGACTAACTGAGTTTATGCAAAAGTTATTTCATATCCCGATTGTTGTTGACAATCCTCCCAGAGTACTGTAGCTACTGAACCCCCCAACCCAATTTATGCTGCTTGTATCATAGTTATCATAGATTGACTCCCCAAAATCAAAGGATTGGTTTAAGATGGATAAAGGAAATTTTGCAAGAAACCATAAGACATGGGAAAACCATGGAAAACCCTGGTTTATTGTACAGTAAATGTTCCCTTAAACTAATCCATTGCGTTAGGCGGAGGTTTGGCTTTGGCAGCGGCACTTCGTGCGCCGCGGACCCTGGGGGGAGTCCGGCGCTTGGTGCGGTGAGGAAAATCACTGGGAAGATATGGATGATGATGTTGGGGTATCTTTATTTTCAGAGAAACCCTGATCTCGATGTTTATAATAGAGATACCTGGTTTTACCAATGAAACCCCAATGTTGATAAACCAATGTTGATGATGATGTTTATGAGTTTTACATAGTTTTACCAAAGAAACCTGGCATTGAGATTGCAGCCAGTAGCATGAGTGCTTTGCAAGTGAGGTCTTGATGTTGAGCTCTTGGGTATTCTGGCTGCATTGAGATCTCTTGAACGGATGGCCGTTGCATTTTCGTGGGACGCTTGGGGAAGCTTTGCCGACATGGCTTCTCTTGATACCATTCCAGGGAAGCACCAGTGGATGATGATTCGATGATTCATCAGTGGATTTGGGGTGTAATTATATCTACATGTACCTTTATTGTATCATCCTTTATATCTTTGTGAACATGGGAAATATGATAATTACCAACTATAGATTTTCTTTTGTTGTTCTTACCACATATTACCACATATTATGGAGGTTTCCTAAGTCATCGGGGTACCGCCAAATCATCCAAGTCGGCCTGAGGTGGCGGAACCGCTACCTCTGGAGTTCCAGGAGTTGTTTCCGAAAGCTGGGGAAAGATGGGTTTTTTTTCGGAATGGTTGATGGTATTTGATGATTATTTATTATTAAATATTATTAATGATTCTGAATCATGGTGAATATTACCTCTTAGATGCAATATCATTGAGTTGTTAAAGGTTATGGCCATTGATGATCCGGCAGTTGATTGAATAAAGTTAGGACACCCAAAAAAGATGAACACCTATGAACAATTGGTATACATTTTATGCTAAGCAATGACCTACCACAAGCGGAAAAGGCACACAGCCGACAGTCCAGCGGGATATTGGCCCTACCAAAGCTTTGACAGGACGTACCAGTGCATATCTTTCATGGGGCGGAAGACCCTGTCGTCGTGTTCTCAGTGCTTGATATGTGATGTTGCTGATTTGCTGGAAGTATCTGGAAGTCAAGGACATGAAATTGATTGAAATTGCTACTTTGCGAATAGTCCGATTGTGAACCCGCCCAGTGGGATCCTCACTACTCCTGCAATTTTGATACGTGCAAAGCCATTGCATTTCTGAAGGCAGCTGGAAGTTCCGACAAACAATTGGGTTGATCCAAAAACAGGGGATCCCATCCCCCAGCTTCATGCTTATTGTTCAGCTTTGGAAACATGATGATCATGGCCATGATACACCATCAAATTTGGGTCGGTTTCACATCATTTTCGCACCATTTCCATGGGTTTTCCCATTTTTGTCTATGGGTTTCCCCTGAATTTCCAATAGTTTTTCTTGTCCATGACACTTTTCCAAGAAAAGGTGCCTCTCAGCACAGCCCAGCTGTGCCGACAACGCTTGGAAGCGGTGGGACTCAGGCGGATTGGTTGTGTTTTTATGGGTTGCTTTTTTATGGGGGATCCCCCAAAATGGATGGTTTATAATGGAAATCAACATGAATGATTTAGGGGTACCACCATTTTAGGAAACCCTCATATTGAAGGGATTGAACATCCATAAATATCCATAAATCCAGATGGTAGAAATGTGTGTGTTTTTGTTTTATTCCCTGATGATGTCCAGTTGCATTGATGACAGGAGGTTGAAATATTGACGTGTTTGGGATTAGTTTGGATGTATGATGACATATGAGGTCTATGGAAGTGATGATTTTGGGTAATTATATCATCAATATTCTTCTGGATTCAACTGGTATATCATGGATAATAAGTGGCTTGTGGTTGACTAATTTTGGCTTGAACAATGGGATGAAACCACCGAGAATGCGACTGGTTTTTGTCATCAACATGACCAGCTTGTGATTTGAAACATGTCTTGCTTTCAATATGACGACTTTCCTGGTTCGATGACTGTCCGCTTCATTTGACTGAGAGGATTGACTCGGATGGGTCTTTCATTTATTTTCAATTGCCAAAACGTAGCACTTTTCGTATGGTCACAACTGGCCCGGCTCCGTCGGATCAAGGGGATCCCGAAGGGGATCCCTTCGGCACGGAGGACCAGTTTCCATGCCTACCCGGGCATGTCGCACGGAGTGTGTGATGAAGAGGCAGGAAAGTCCACATTGTCACCGCCAAACAGACAGATGGTGAGGGATGGCATTTTTCAGCAGCTCAAGAATCAACAAGCTTTGCATGAAATATGTATGCGAATTCAGAACGCAGATATTGCCAACTACTTGGACGAGTTTGAACAGATGCAACCTTTTTTAGCTGCTGCAGTGCGGCCCTTGTGGTAATTGGGGGGTGTCCTGAGCATGGCCTCCGAAGATGCTTGAAATGATCCATGGCCAGCATGTGACGTAGACGACGAAGCATTGAAGATATTGAAGCATCAACAAGAGAAGAATCACCGTAACAAAGCTATGAACAGACCAAAAAGCATATGCAGTAGCATAAGCTGCAAAAAAGAAGCGACAACCAATGGGTTAGGGGATCACTTAGAGCACCGGAAAGCGGATCACTTAGAGCACCAGATCAATTAGAGCACCATGGGATCACTTAGAGCACAAAAAAGTGGATCACTTAGAGCACCAGAGAATGAGACCTTTACATGGGAACCTGGGACATGGGGTGGGTTTAACGGACACGTGGGTGGCTGGGACTGGGACATGGAGTGGGTTTAGAGGACAAGCATGGTGGATCAGAATCAGAGAATCCAGACCTTCAGGGCTTAACTTCGGGACACGGGACTGGGACACGGGTTCGGTTACTACTGGTTGATTTCGGGCCGGAAGGCGGATCGCCTGGAATGTGTACCTGCGTGCAATTTATCAATGTCACTACGTGCGTGCTGCAGTGCTTCAGCGCGTAGGCACGTATGAATGTGTCCATTTATGTGTCTATGTCTCTGTGTCTATACGTATTATGTAGCTATAGTGCCATGTATCTCTTATGTGTCTGTGCGTGTCACTTTTCGGCGTTCCAAGCGATCCACTTTCCAGCGCTCAAAGCGAACCCCCGACCCAACCAATGACCAAAAGTCGGGATCAACTGCCGAAACAGGTGCATTAGCACGAGGACGAAGGCACCCTCAAAAATATTGATCGCTGAATAGCAAAAATGACCCCCAATTGGATATGATACTACAGGAATATTATACAGAAATATGCAGAATATGTCATGTCCAATTGATTTTTGTATATTTTTGTTATCCAATGACCCAAGGGATTATTCAATACTACGATCATTAGATTATATATGATATCATATCATATATAATTATATATAGTAACGGATTACAGTAGTATCTATGAGTACCTTAGTAGTCAATGGTCGAACCAACCGCAAAAATCACCCTGTGTTGAATGTTGGTTCACAGCTCAGGTGGCCCAGCTGGCACAAACCTTCTATGAAGCTTTGAGAACATAGCTTTGGAAAGAAAAAATGAGAGCCGCTAATATCCAATAATTACTAACTAATAGTGTTTTTGTCTGAATTACAGACACATCCTGGGAGTTGTTCCTAATTTTATGATTTCCTTGATTTCCAATAATAGATGCCTGGAATGGGCAAACATAACCCATAGGATCCATGTCTGCTATATATGGTAACATTTACCATCAATATACCCCAAATGTTAGCATATATACCATACATGGATCCTATGGGTAATAGATACTAGGCTTGTCTTTTTCCCCTGGGCCATTAAAAATATCATACATTTCCTATCGTTTCCTTTTTTTTAAGGGGTCATACTAAATGGTCTGTCAGGGACTATTATCATCCATGGGGTTGCCAATCATCCAACCAGTATAGTCAGGATGGAATAGGGGTGATTTTCCATTGCCTCATTTGTTCACAATTTCACCTGAGGGAGAGAAAGAGAGAGAGAGAGAGAGAGAGAAAGAGAGAGAGAGAGAGCAGAAAAAAGTTGCAGATGCAGTTCATTTTGTATGTTCTTCTTATGATTCGAGACGATGAAGCAGACTAATGTCTGTTCTCATGGCGGTGCTTTTCTTTGTGTCACCAGAGTGACTATCAATACTCACTGTGTATTTGTGCTGCATCGAACGCTGCGGTTTTGGATCTTGCAGACTGAAACACGAGAGAACATCATAATTAGTCCCTGCATCTGTACCCTTTTTATCGGTTCTTATTCTCGATGATTCACGCCCAGAAACCTTCCATCTATTTGACTGTGCTGATCAATTAGGAGTTCTACTGAGAGTAAAGTAGAAAGAACAGATAAGTTTTTTGTCTAGTACTGTACCAGAACAATCCAGAACAATCCAGAACAAAGTATAGCACACTAGGCTAGGGATTAATACTGATGGTTAATAGTGGTATGGCCCTGTGTTAATGTTAATAGTATAGCACACTATAGTATGGCCCTGTGGGAAGCTTCCTGTCTTTTTGCTGTTTCGACTGTTTCAGTCGCTGCATGGCCGCTACGCCTAGCACGCGGGTGTTTGTGAGCCAGCTGCCTGCAGCCTTGGCAGAAAACTCGCCAAGGCCTTGGTCCTTTGATCATTGGGACACGGGACAAGGCCTGGGTTGTTGGTGAACATGAAATGTGTAGTACTGCATGATGATTGGAGTAGTGCACATAAGATATCATAAGATTGCCAATTCCAATTTGTTCAGAGTTTGTTTGAACACTCCAACTTAGTGGATTATAGTGGATTTGGGCAGGTTACATTATATCGGATCCTGACACTTGAGAATTGGATATGTTTCTTGGATATGTTTCTTTGGAAATCTGAAGCAAGTGCCCTTGGAACACTTTGCCAAATCAGATTGCCTAAGGTGCGATGTACTGCGATTTCATACATTCCCAGACAATGGCCATTGGAAGACCAACCGAATCATCCGAAGACCAAGGCCCCTTTTGCAGAGCATTTTCGCCAATTTTGGAGATGTGGAGGATGTTTGGGCAGCGCTTCTCAGTTCATGAGCGTATGAGGGCAATTGCCCGCAATCAAATTGATTTGTGAAGTTTGAGACTTCTACCCGTGGACTCTATATAGTCATGCAAGATTCTTCAGTGTTTCCAGACTCACTGGCAGTAGAGAAAACAAGATTGATTTGTCCAGAAGATCTATTTCGGAAACTGGCAGGGAATTTGCATGGGATTTGCAAAGTTTGGGTTTTGCCCACACAGAAATTTCAATGTGTCGATTTCTCCGAATGAGCCAATGGCCTCAAGTTCTGCTTGAAGGCATTCATGTGCCTATCACTAAGGCTCGCGTGGTGAACCGCACACAGAACGTCCACGAAAGTTGGGGATTCGTTCGCTTCAAGCTTGCAGAAGGCACCAGTTCAACGAATTCATGTATCCAGATGTTTCCCACAATGGGGGTACCATTTTAGTTGGGTTTTCTGTTATCCAATGTATCCATGCTACGGTACCTTCGCGCAGTGGCCAGAAAATAGCCTTTCGATGCCTTTTGTGCTGGGATGTTTGCTCTGTTTGTGTCAGTGGTTGTCAACAAGGGCACTAGTAGAAGGAGGCTACCACCACGATTGTTTCCTTGTCAAGCAGGACTGGTACCGACATACATGAGACCACACGTCTAACATGTGAAGGTGTATGCGTGTATATAATTATAATTATATAATAAATATATCTATATGCATGTATACGGTATGTATATATATATATATTTATTATAAGTATATGATTATTGAAGATTCAACTCATCGTTTGCAACCTGAGCTTCACCAGTTCCATGGTCAGGCGCCAAAGCGGCCGCTTCCTTCGGCGACTGGCAAAGTCTGGTGGACACAGCAGGCAGGGCGGTAGGACGTTTCATGGCGAAAGCAATGGATTATGGGGTACCCCCAAGTTTAAGAAACATTCATCTAATATTATTTGTTTTAATGAGACTACTCCTCGAAAATCGGTGCTTCAATACATTTCAATACAAAACAAGATCAATTTTGCTGGCCTCTTGGTGGTTCTGTTCGTTCCAGTTGCTGCTGGACTTGGCATCTTGTCCATTTTAATTTTATGAGGGATGGGCCATCATTTTATGACTTGTGTTCAATTGGGAAAGGGAAAATTATGATCAACCAGCCACAGAAATTGCAGTTTCAGCAAGTGTGAGTACGTACACAACTTGATGATCCACCATGGGATTGTGGCTGCCTCATTTTCAGACAAAGCCATGTCATGGGAAGAGTTTGTTGATCGTTTTCATCTTGACTTGCTTTAAAGCTGTGATCTCTACTGCAATGAGGTCATGCACATTGTGCAGATCATCTCTGGAAGTGATGTGAGTTGGTTCTAGAAAATCTACCGGTGCCCAAAAATGATCCCAAATGGCTATTCTTTTACAGTATATGAAACATGATCAATGATTATCAACCATGCAATTCGGGGGTAGCCATGGGTAGCCCATTTTCACAGCGATGACCTGCAGGCTTGCCAATCAAAGGAAGTTCTTTGGTCGTGAGTCTTTCTGTAGGGCTTCCAATGGAGGCAGATACTGGTGCAGTGCTGGCCTGTTGTTGTGCACAATGGGAACAACATCTGCATATACCAT